CCGAATTATCCACGTCCAATCCTTGTATCACTGAAATCGGTCATGGCAGCTACAAATATATCATTGCAAGTCAAAATGCTAATGCTACTTTGCGTCAGGAAAGGTATAGTTTATCTCACCCCTAACACTTAGGTGTAATTAACTAACGTTGATTTCAAAAGGAAGCCATTTCAGTCCCTACTCTTCGAAAATCTGATTTAAGCTATATGTTTCAAGATAATCCATGACATTTATAAAAATGATATTTATATTCCCTTAGTGTTCTATAGACAAGAATAATATACAAATGTATGCAGATCCAAGTCGATTAAGTATAAAATCTTATTTGTATCTATAGTTTATATTCATACGTCCAGCAAACAGCTTTTCAAGTTGTAATATATTCTCTTTAATAATGAGTGCTTACATATTAGCTTTTAGTTGATGTATATATGTAACTCAAGACAAAAAATATATATTACTCCTTCCCTTCCTACTTCCCTTTGCTCCCTCCTTCCTTCACTTACCGCCTTCCTTCCTTCTCTCTTTCACTCTCCACCTCCCTCCCTCTCTTCGTCTCTCCCTCCCTCCTTTCTTTCTTCCCTCCTTCACTTCCTCCTTCCCTCTCTCCCTTTCCCTCTCGCTCTCTATCTCACGCTTGCTCATGCTCTCACTTTCATTCTCACTCTCATTCTTAATCCCTCCCTCATTCCTTCCTTCCTTCTTTTCTTCCTGTCTTTCCTCTCCCTCTCGCTCTCTCCCTCTCTCTCTCTCTCTCTCTCTCTCTCTCTCTCTCTCTCTCTCTCTCTCTCTCTCTCTCTCTCTCTCTCTCTCTCTCTCTCTCTCTCTTCCTCTTCCTCTTCCTCTTCCTTTAAATCTAACTCAAATTCCTTTCCCTATCCCTCTCACTTTCCCACCTCTTACTTTCCAATTTCACGCTCTCTATCCCTCTCTATCTCTCTATTCCTTTCTCTCTATATATATATCCCTCTCTCTCTCTCTCTATCCCTTTCTCGCTCTCTATCCCTATCTCTCTCTATCCCTCTATCTCTCTCTATCCCTCTATCTCTCTCTATCCCCCTCTCTCTCTCTATCACCCCTCCCCCTCTCTCTCTCTCTCTCTCTCTCTCTCTCTCTCTCTCTCTCTCTCTCTCTCTCTCTCTCTCTCTCTCTCTCTCTCTCTCTCTCTCTCTCTATTTATTCACATCCTTATTATCCATACATTCTCCTGTTTAAACGCACCCGGCAGTAAAAGTCGATTAAGTTTATAAGGAATATACGCATAATATAATAAAAATCTAAAACAGAAAAAAATAGTGACAAGTTACATCACACGGATTTTTTTTTTTTTTTCAGTCCTTTTAGTTTTTGTAAAAAAAAATTAAAACAGGACAGACTCTCTTAAAAAGAAAAAAATATATATATAAATGAAAAAAAGTGTGTGATAGTGTGGTTGCTCGAGGCGTAGAAGTACTGGTAATATCATATGTTACTGAATATGATATTACAATGAAAACGTAAATATAATATTTGCTGTTATCATTATAATATGGGAAGACGGATACGGAAAACTTATCATTATTGCCTCCATTATTTTTATCATCGATATAAATAACTTTTCATTATTTAATTATGATTTATAATAATAATAATGTTATTATTATTATTATCATTATTATTATTATTATTATGATTATTATCATCATCATTATTATTATCATTACTATCATTATCATTATCACCATTATTGTAATTATCATTAGTATTATGATTATGATGATTATTACCATTATCGTCATTATTACCATCACATCATAATTATTTTTATCATCATTATCACTATCATTACTATCATTAGTATTATCATCATTATCACTATCATTACTATCATTACTATTACCATCATTATCATTATTTTTTTAAAATCGTTATCATTATCATCATTACTATGATTATCACTCAACTATTCGTGCAAGACAAGACATAGAGAGAAAAAAATCTGTAGGTTAAGCCCCCCTCCTTAATTAACCAGATTTTTATACGTCAGTTTGCCTTCTATATTTTCGCGGCAGTCACGTAACCCTCCCCCCCCCTCCTCCTCCTCCTCCTCCTCCTCCTCCTCCTCCCCTCCCCGTCGAAGCCTATTAATTCTTCCTTCTCTCTTCTTCCTCCCCATCTCTTCCTCTTCCTCTTCCTTCTCCCCTTCCCCTCGTCTTCCTCTTCCTCCCCTCCCCTCCCTTCCTCTTTCTTCTCCCCTCCCCTTCGTCTTCCTCTTCCTCCCTTCCCCTCCCTTCCTCTTTCTTCTCCCCTCCCCTTCGTCTTCCTCTTCCTCCCCTCCCCTCCCTTCCTCTTCCTCTTCCTTCTCCCCTTCCCCTCCCCTTCGTCTTCCTCTTCCTCCCCTCCCTGGTCATTCGATGTTCACTGTATAACGGGTTAAGGAGCACTGTCACTGTAGATATTACTTGTCGTTATTTAGTTTACTTTTGTTGTTGATAATGATGATGATGATGGTGCTGGTGAT